CAAGTCAATACTATTTCCATACCTGGCAAGAGGAATAGAGGGCACACAAAGGCTCCAAGGCAACATTATGCACAGGTGTGCTCGACAGATAATGATTACAGCAATAATCTAGAACAGACCATCCAAGGGAGAAGGAAACACTTGTGCACAGTCATTCTGGAGATACCCAAACTTTATTGTGGCTGACCTGGCCTTGTGAAATCAGGCCTGTGTTGACCGAACTTAGCTGGGCCTCTCATTTTTGTGTTTATCTCTGTATAACTGCCACACTGGTCATCTTTCAGTCACCCTAGAAAGCAAGCCCTTTGTAGACCTGAACAGGAACACTCTCCAACTGCTTTAGTCTATTCAGGATCCTTTCATTGCTCTAGTTCTTCATTGAACTATCACCTCCTCAATGATCACTCTTGTAATTACTAAAATAGAGCCCTCCCAATCCATTCCCTCAAAACTAAGTCTAGGTCAGTGATATATGTTATTCCTCCCAATTGCTTATCATAGTCCTAAAATGTAATCATTAGTTACTTTCCTCTTTCTTATAGGCATCCTGACTGTCTGGAGTGCACTCATGTCAATATCCTTGTTGATTTATAGTTTAACTAGAGTCCAGGACAATTTCTAGCACCAAAAAAGCCAGATACTTATTGAATTATTAAATAATAAATGAATGTCTCATCTTTTTTTTTTCTTTCAACACTGGGTTTAGCTGACTCACTAAACTAAAAAGAATTCCACGCTATTGTGCTATTGTTTAACATCTGCGCATAAATAGTGCATTTGTGACAAACTCTTTTTAGGAGTGGCAGGTGTTCCCTCCCAGCGGGCGAGAACATATGGCTATTGCTAAAACAATAACAACAACATCCTCACAAATTATAAGGCTGTGTGAAAAATCAAGGTTTTTCAGCATGAGTTGTTGCTGAGATCTTTATTACCAGAGCAACTAGTAAATTCCCACTTTCTCTAGAGACATTTGCCTCAAGACTTGTAGTCTCTGTGTACCCTAGAGATTGTGATAAGAGCAGTTTATTTAGATAGTGTAGATGTTCCATTCTATTTTCTGAATGAGAGAATGAGTGAAACAGCTTTGTAATTAAAAAATAGTAATAAAGCCAACATGGTCCTGTAAGCTCATTTATTGAGAAAATGAGCCACCTCAAGGCCAATTTCCTCACTATTATAACTAACAATAGTGTCAAGGGGGAAAAACCAGATTGTGGATGGGTCTCTTGGTTATGGTAACCAACTGGATTACTATGCTTTAGAGCTTGTTCCCTCCCCCTTTTTTTTCTTTTGGTTGGTTGGTTGGTTTTTCGAGATGGTGTTTCTCTGCGTAACAGCCCTAGCTGTCCTGGAACTCACTCTGTATACCAAGCTTGCCTTGATCTCACAGAGATGCACCTGCTTCTGCCTCCAGAGTGCTGTGATTAAAGGCATACACTACCACCAACCTGCTAACTGTTAATGGGGTGTATAGTATGGCATGGTTGTATTTAGTGAGAAAATACTATATCAGATACTATTGTGGGGGCTAGACATGTTAGCTCATTTAATATTTACTAAATTTCTTTCATTTCCATATAAAAGAGAGGAAAAGTGAAATGAGTATAATCTTGGTTGTCAACTTGATACACCTGCAAACAGAGACCCTCAGACAAGGAATAATCTTCATTTGATGGGCCCATAGGCACAGAGGAGGGATTTTTCTTGACTGAAAACTTACACAGTACAACTAACCTATTTTGGGCAGTGCCACCACTGAAGAGATGGGCCTGGGCTGTATAAGGAAATTAACTGAGTAAGCCAGTAAGTATCATTTCTCCGTAGTCGCTGTTTCAGGTCCTGTCTCTTGGTTCCTTTCTTTCTTGAGCTCCTGCCTGTCTTCTTTTGGTGATAGACTGGAACCTGTAAGCTGAAATAAACTCATTCCTCCCCAGGTTATTTTGGGCATGGTGCTTATCAAAGGAACAGAATGCAAACTAAAGTCTTTAGCCAGTGACATCCATCCCTTAATCCAAACAATTACCTCATGCATGTATTATAAATGACATTAAGTATATACTGCATTCTAAAAACAAGGGAGTCACTAAAAATACACAGTGGAACATAATAAGGAAGAAATATTAACTAGGAGAGTTTTGACTCTAAACATCTGACAATTAAGCAGAATCCAAGATAGATTCCAATACGAACAGATTGCTCACAGAAAAAGGAATACAAATAGCTCACAAACATAGGAAAAGACAGCCAGAGGAGTGTAAATGATAGTTCCACTGAGATGTCACTTTCCATGTAGTGGGTAAGTAGGGATCCTTGTGTGTAGTTGTTGTATGTAATAGTATGAATGGGTGTTACCTGTGTGGGTTATTTTTTTGATAATATTTATCTAAATTTAAGGTGTTTTTCAATATTTCAGTGATTATGATTCCAAATCAGCTATTCTATTTGTAGGAATATTCTATAGGCAACTAGTACTTGTGAAGAATAATACATAAAATTTTTCATGAAGAGAGAGCATATGATAGCCAAAAGTTCCAGTAGCTTGTAAATGATAAAACACAAGCCTCAGTGTATGTTCTACATTGCATGTAATTCTGTTCTATGGTCACTTTAAAAATTTGTGTGCCCTCAGTGCCTGGAAGAATGGCTGCAAATACTAGGCAATTAATAAATAGCCATGGGATGAGTGAAAATAGCTTTTACATGCAGTTAAAAAGGAGAAATCTCAATTTGACTTCTTTCTATGATGTGTGAATTAGAGCATAAAGCACTCTGAATGGTGCACATGTCTCTCTTATGTTTCTGCAGGTAGGGAGTGCACATGTGTCTTATGTGTCTGCAGGTAGGGAGTGCACATGTCTCTTTCTTAATGTCTCTGCAGGCAGGGAGTGAGCATGTCTCCTTCTCAAGTTTCTGCAGATAGGGAGTACTTGTCAAATGCTGATCACTGCATCAGTGATACAGATGGAAAGCCAGTCAGAGCCAGCCTCTGCTCTCAAGGATTTCATCTTCTTGAAGGAGAAATGAAGGCAGAATAAGACCTAAGAGGACTTCAAGTGGAAACAAAATGGAGACAAAATGCTTCATGAATCCAGAAAATCATCTTGTTAGCTTCTAAGAGAAAGTCCAAGAGTAAGCCTGTAGGCTGAGGATGACTCCTTGGCCTTCAAGAGTGGTTTGGGATCAATGGGCTGAATGATAACGGTGGAGAGCTTGCTCAGGACAAACTGAGGGTGCACACTGGAAGTACATGGCTTGTGTCACATCATCAAACTTTTGATCACATGAGGGGAAGTTCTAGAGTACTGCTTCACAGATGAGGAAACTAAGACTCAAAGAAGTCACCAAGCTAAGAGCAAAGCTGGATTTTTGAATCCAGGCAGTTTGAGTGGTGTGCCCCTCATCTGAGTAGCTGAACTCTATTGGTTTCTTACCTCTGTGAGAAGAGGATATGTTTGAGGGGAACGAGATAGTAGAAGATGAATTTCAATGTGTCTGTAGAGTAATGGTGTAAGAGCTCTGAGCACTTTGTTTCAGTGCAGGACTTTTCTCTCAAGGCACCGGAGAAAATGACACAATCTCTCTGGAGTTTCAAAGTAAGAACCAACATCACTGTGAAGATGAAAGGGAGTGGATGACGACCACTTGCACTTGGATGGAAAGAATGAAAAGGAGCCTTGGGTTGATGTGAGGAAATTCAAGCAGAAGGACCTCAGGCCATGAAAGAACAAGACCTGGGTCATCTTTTTAGTGAGATGTGGTAAGTGTAGATAAACACTGAGAGTTATTGCAACCAATTACATTTTTATATTCACTAATGTCAAGTAATCTTTATCGTCAGCAACAAAGATATGAAATATAAGTTCAAATAATTTCCTGAGCACATACAAAAATTAAATGTTCTCCCTTCTAGCAAGAGATTTCACCATCTATTGGTGAACCACATTTATCAATCTCATTAAAATTACTGCAGAAAAAGGTGGCATATATTTCCCTGAAACTGCTTAATGGGTTTTACAGGTTTTATGGAGAACTTTTCCTGAGTCTAGTAAAATTTCTATTAAAATTTACTCTGTGATTTGTCCCCTGGGGCCTATATTTTTATAAAGTTATTTTTAATTGCATCTTGGCCTATTGTAATATTTACTCACTGGCATCAGCTTGTTTTTTTCCTGCACTATTCTAATGTCCACTGCACACAACAGCAAGCATGGGGCAGGGGAGCACCAGGTATAGTGATGGACACTGTCCTGGAAGGTAAGAGACAGCTTTTCATTGTTTCCCTACTCAGAACTGGAAGACATCACCAGACTCTCAGAGATTGTTTCTTCATCCAGAAATGAAGAGTAAGTGTTAAGTACTTGATAATGTTCTTTTATCATGTATCCTGTAATATACATGGGATGTCCACCATCTGAACCCTCAGAAAGCTACAGAGATGAACTAGGCATTTCCATGTCTCAAGGGATGTTACATTTAAGTATTATAAGTGTGACCATTCTCAAGAAATAATAACTCAAGAAACAGCAATGTCTGAAATTGACCTTCACCTCAAAACAATTTAAACATATTTGGAATTGTTCTATTACCTATGTATCTATGTATCTATGTATCTATCTATGTATCTATCTATGTATCTATCTATGTATGTATCTATCTATCTATCTATTGATCAAGAGGGGGGAGAGAGAGAAAGAGAGACAGAGAGAGAACAAGAAAGAGAGAGAAAGAGAGAGAAAGACACACACACACACACACACACACAGAGAGAGAGAGAGAGAGAGAGAGAGAGAGAGAGAGAGAGAGAGAGAGAGAGAATCTTACTGCATTCTGAAGCCGAAGCTGGCATAGAACTCACTGTGTAACTGATGCTGGCCTCAAATTTGCTGTGATCTTTCTGTCTTAGGCTCCTAAATATTGAGGTGGTATATGTATATGACTGCTCCTGGCTATAGAAAGTAATCCCTCAAACTTTCTAGCAAAAAAAAAATGACATGCACCTGCTTCCACTGATAGACCTTGAACAGTTCATGACTATCTTCTGGTTTGCACTAGGATATAAACCAAAATGCTCACTGTGCTTTCTGCCTATCTTTGTGGTCAAGATTGAAGTGGGGAGTACATCTATATGGTTTTAAAAAATAACAGACTCAGAGAAGAAAGGGAACAAAAAAACCCAGACAATATCAAGAGTGACATTTTGTCTTCAATATGATCATAGCATATTAGTAAAAAGAGATCAGAACTAAAGAAAACAATAGAGAACTACCAGCAGATTCCAGGTCTCTTTCGTATTTGCCTTTTCTGTTAAAGAGAGAGAGAGAGAGGACAAAAATAAGAATTATTTGCCATCAGGTGTAATAGGGATCAATCTGGGGAATGGGCAACCAGATATGTTTGGCATTCCTTGGCCTCTGTTAGCCACTGTCTGCAGACCCAGGAAAGGAGCAGATCTCTGCAGAGCGTACAGAGTATTTTTGATGAAGCACTGCAGGAGAGCAGCCTGGGGCAGCTTTGACAGGCTGCCAAACATACAGTTTTATTTTGTCTTTATTGGAAAGGCACTGTTTCTAGAAAAATCATGTCTGGAGTCCTGCTGCCAAACACAGAGGCAACTATGGAAAAGGTGCAACCTGATTTCTGCCAACAGGGAAGTGCTCATTGTCCCCAACTGTTCCCAAAGGACCAGGCTGTCAGCAAAGGTGAGTCAGACATCTCTGCAGCTGAGCTTCAGGATTGTGTAGTGCATCACACCCCTCCCCCAGGATAGCACAACCACCTGCTCTACTGTGTGTTCGTTAGCCTATACACAAACAGCCAAGGTCTCCTTCAAGGCCTCTTCTAAGTAGAAATGGCATCAGAGAAGCCAGGATCCAGTTCTCCGGATCCACTGCTGCTGAGACCTGCCTCTTTCCAGATGTTAGTCCATGGCCTGACCAATGTTAGGTGCTCAATAAATATTTGTTTAAATGGCTCTGCAATGATTTAATGGCTAATTAATTTGGGGCCTGTGACTAACCCAATAGCTGGCACATGGCAAGTGTCAATAAATTCTTTATGAGTGAGCAAACTTGTGGCAAAGCCAGGCTCAAGCGTCAGAGCCAAGGCAACATTACACAGCAGATGAAGGTACCATGGTCTCTCCCATCTTAGCTCCTGCGTGGCTAAGCAGAGTCCATGGCTCACTCTGGACAGCCTTCCTTTGTTGTGTTCCCTTAAAGCAGTGGTTCTCAATGACCAGCAGCATCACCTACTGGAAATATAAATCTCAGTCCCACTTCAGTCTATTGGATTAGAAACTTTGAGTGGGACCAGCAATCTATGACAAGCCCTCCTTCCGTGTACCTAGGGAATCGTCATTCTTTCACAGGGTAGACTACTTTCTCAGGAGCTTTGCTTTCTTTCTATCATCTATCTATTGATGAGTTTCAGCAGAAGATTTAGTTGATTAGGTTATTTTATTATCCCAATGATATTTTAATGTTTTACAAGGGATTAGAGAAAACCAACATTAATGATCAACACCCAGGTCCAGTTGCAAAAATTAATAAATAAATGAATAAACAAAAGGTTGGTTCTGAGATTATGTTCCTTTTCAGACCAGATTCAGTGGCCTATCTGATACAAACAGAGTGGTCAGATGAGAAATGGGTTGTTTATTGGTTATTCAGTGTTTAAAATTTAGATCTTGGGAGAAGGGAACTGGGATTGTCATGGAATTCAATCTTGTTTGTAATTCAAATAAAAAAAAGAAGAAAAAAATTTAGATCTTAAAACATGAAACCCTTGGTCAAAGGTCACCCCTCAGATATGTGGGGTTGATTTTGATTATTAGAAGAGTATAAGTAGGAACATACTATATAGAAATTTGCGTTATGAATGTTTCTTCAAACATTGAAGTCTCCTGTTCTATGGGAATGTATTCTGTTGTGATAAAACTCAGATGAAACCAAGAAGCTGCTCTTTCTAAATTACCACTGTCATTCTTCAGGGTTTTCCGTCATCTCACTGAACCACTGTGCTGTATAAGAGCAAGCTCCTGCCCTTTGTAGGCATTTGTGTTAATGATGCACACTTTACATGGATTCAACTGCACCACTTCAGGAGGTAATGGTATCCAATAATGACCCACACAAGGAAATAAGGCAGCAGTATTGATGAACCAGCCTGCCTCCACCTTAGGCTTGAAAGCTGTCTTGTAATAAAAGAAAACCAGGCTCATTCCTGTGTATGACTAAGCCTGTGTTTCTCAAAGATTGCATTATTCTCCACCTGTAACCTTAGCTATAAATGGTTCTGTACTGACTGTTCCAGGGAAAATAATCATGTCTTTGTTTCAAAGGTTGTTATGACAATTTTGCAACTCTATATTTGTTTCAAAAGGTTATATGGCTACCTTGTCGTGATTACCTTGTTATACCCACCTTGCAACTATGTCTTTGTTTCAGGGGACTCGCTATGAATAACTTGTTATGCTTATGTTCTGCTTTTGTAATGCCACATATTTTGCCTGCCAAATCCCCCATTTGGAAACCCCCTACCCCTGAGCTATAAAAGCCTTGTCTTCCTTGCCTCCAATCCTGATCTCTTGAATCTTGCTTTTAGAGAGAGACAGCCCCAGCCCATATACAAGAATAAAAAGCTTGCTTTAATTAATTGCTTGTTTTAATTAATTAGGGTATGATGATTTGGGTCGGTGATCTTCTCCTTTCATCTTTGGAATTAACATATCCGAGGTCCATTTCTTCCTTAAGTGACTGAAAACTGTGAATGTTCTAAGGTGAGCATGGTGTTAAACACCTGTAATCCCAGAACTTGGAGGGGTGGGGCAGGGGGTGAGAATTTGAGGCCACTGTGAGCTTCATAAGTAATTCCTTGTCTCAAATAACAAAACAAAAACAAAAACAAAAACAAAAACAAAAACAAAAACAAAGCAGTGAAGATGACATGACTATGGGTGTGGGTTCATATGGGATTTGTAATCCTTGGAAATTTTGATGAATTTTTCCAGTATGTTCAGCCAGGTCTGAAGGATTGATCCCATTCCATGGAAAGTCCTTGACATACTGACTTCCTTTCTAGAAGATTCTATTTAATATGCTAATGCACTTTGTCAAATTGCAATATATTTTCCCAAAAACTTAAATAAGTATTTTATTGGAAACATTTTTCATGTTTAAAATTGAATCACAATGCTCACTTCATTTCGTATTCATTTGATTATAAGAATGGCCATTTTTAACCAATCATATAATAAGACAAAACAAATTATAGCTGGTCCATTTAATAGTATTTCCCCCATGTACATATCAAAAATATTATACTGCTCATAGTATTATTGTAGGATACAGGATATGTTGATAGCTAACCTTATAAATTCATGCGCCCCATCCCTATTACAAATAAGTTAACCCATTAAATATTTCTGCAAGTCTCTAATCAAATGAATCAAACAAACCAGTCTAGCATATGCCTTTTTCCCACTGATTTTCTCAGGCACCTGTGTATTGCTCTATGTTTATTTCATTAGGGATCAGAAGGGATTTAAATTTGTAAATCCCACTAGTCACTCTAAAATAAAGGTTGAGGAATTAGTCTTGTTCATTATAGAATAGGAAAGCTGAGGATATCATATCTCTATACCAATGATGACTTATTTATTTATTTATTTATTTATTTATTTGTTTATTTATATATTTGGTGTGTTTATATATGCATGTCTCACCCCCATTTGTGTGTGTGTGTGTGTGTGTGTGTGTGTGTGTGTGTGTGTTTGGGCCACAGCATGTATATGGAGGTAAAGGGATGACGTTGGAGTCATTTCTCTCCTTCCACCTTTGCGTGAGCCTTAGAGATGAAACGTAGGTTGCCAGGCTTCTGCAGGAAGCATCTTCATGCACTGAGACATCTCACCAGCACTCAGTGCTAATTTTTATAGTCCCATGCTAAGGTTGCTGTCATTTATCAGTGCCCCTTCAACTAAAACAGAAGAGTGCGGTTGTGCAGGAAGGGAACAGAGATGTAAAACTGTCCACACCCCTAGTCCCTGTCCACCTCTGAAGGAGCTCACTAGTCCATTGACCTCATCAACAGCTCTTCTGGAGAAGTCTCACCTGTGAAGGCATCACTTCATTTACTCATTTAGGAACTTCTAAAGATCTTGACTATACCCACACCATACTGTCCAACTTTTTAGCAGAGAGTACACAATGACTCAGCATATTGAGGCTCTTGGAAACCTCACCACAAAAATCCTTGTCTTGCTCTACCTATTAATTTAATGTTATATTCTTATCTGGTCTCTTGGAGGGTTGGCTATATAACTCTATGGTACAGTGCTTGCCTAGCAAATGTAAATTACTGCGTTCAATCCTCAACACGGAAAAAAATGGAGGTCTAATTTTAATTCTTAATCTAGATCCACAAAAACTCATAAACATCCTGTCTTTGGCTCTCCCGACATAGTGAGTAGTATGTTCACTTTTGTCTTATCACCAGTATTTCAGTGACAGTGAGGAAGCCAGCTATCCTTCAATATTCTGAAGCTCCCAACCCATCAGTGGCTTAGTTGGTATGTTCATCAACAAGATGCTTTCTAGCCTCTTCCCCCACAAAATATTCTTACCTTATTTCAATTTGTTGGCTGTGCCCTGCTGAGACTGGAAATTGTCTACTGCTGGATTCCAACATATGAGTGCTTACCTCTGTGGACAGTGATGGCTTCGTCTCCATTTCAGACAGTGATTTTATTTTCCTTCGCTATAACGTCAGCAGGAAAAAGTTGCTTACTCATAGAGTAACCTTAACTATGGCATTATCATATATGTACATTGACCACACAGTACTGTATTTTCATTTCCAAGGTGTAAGTCACAAAAACAGAAACCCTTAAGGAATACTACACTGTGATGTACTAGGCCAGATGCCCAAGATGAATCCAAAGTGAGTGTCCTCCAGACCCATCCAATCTACAGCAATTCTTACAAAAACTTCAAATGATGTAAATACTTTGAAAACACAAACTTGTGAATTCAATGTGATGTTTGGGCAAGTAGTGAAAACATCCCAGAGAGACTCGGTTTAGTCCAAGTCACATGGGAAGCAGGACTGGTACAGTGTTCTTTTC